CCGTGAAAAAATTACTGAGTCACTGGAAGTCACCTTGAACCAAGACCGCCTGGGAGCTCTGCAGTTGCTCTTTACAACTTTAAGTTGTCTCAGCAAGTCCAGGAGATCCCTACCTCCATTTTATAGGTGAGTCAGAGAGGACTCACTCACTTGCCTGAGTCCACCCAGTGTGTCCCAGGGTGTGTGTATGTGGGGAGGGGGGGGGCAATGAAATTCAAACTATTCCAACTCAGTCTGTGCGATTCTCAAAGAGGCAAACTGCCACTCGCCCCCTCGAGTCCAGATTTGTCTGATTGTGGGAAGGGCAGGCTGGGGGCTGGAGCCAGCTTTCTGGTTTTTGTGCCTCAACATCTGCCGAGAAGCGGGGTCAGGTTCCTGAGGTTCCCTCTCATTCGACACCGGCCGTACTCAGGGGCCGGGACAATAGCCTGTGTGTGTCCCCGGGCGGGGAGAACCTCCCCCTCAGGCTCCCTGCACCCACTGCCTGCCCCCCCTCAACCAAATCCACCTCAGTCCCAGTCACCTCCGGGCCCACGAGTTAATGAGTCCAAACGTTGTGCAAAGGATCCAGGCCCCACCCTTCCCGCTCCTCCAGGGGAAAAGTCACGAGGGGCAGCTGCAGGCAGCAAGCAGCCTCCCTGCCTGGACCGGAGAAGTCTGCCCTGGGAGCGAGCTGTCTGACCCCACAGAGGGCAGTGGAGGGAAGATGGGTCCCACCTCTCCAAGGGACGTCCGCGGGCGTCATCCCCTGCAGTCACTCTGGGGGATGCTGAGCGAGCCACTTAACCCTCTGAGCCTGCTCTCTCCCCTGCAGAACGGGAAGAATAACAGTACCTACTCCCTACAGTCGGTCTGAGAACGACTAAAGCAGCCGTGGGCAAACTACGGCCCGCGGGACGGATCCGGCCCATTTGAAATGAATAAAACGAAAAAAAAAAAGAGGCCGTACCCTTTTATGTAATGATATTTACTTTGAATTTATATTAGTTCACACAAACACTCCATCCATGCTTTTGTTCCGGCCCTCCGGTCCAGTTTAAGAACCCATTGTGGCCCTCGAGTCAAAAAGTTTGCCCATCCCTGGACTAAAGCTTAGCACATAGCTAAACATGGTCGTGCACAATGACATTGTTAGTCATTCAACAAATGCTTCTTGAGCATCTATTCTGAGTGTGTGAGGCTCTCTTCTAGGCCTGGGAGGATGGCAGCGCACAAGACAGACGGACGCCCGCTTCCGGGCCGCATCCTCCGGCAGAGGCAGGCAGGCAGGCCACAAATAACAAACAACACGTGGTAAATCACGCAGCAGTGCTGTCCGACAGAAGCGTGCTGTGAGCCACGAAAAATTTTAAATTTTTCGGGAGTAAAACGTAAAAAGTAAACTGCCAACAGTAAAAAGAAACAGGTGAAATTAACCTTTCTACTGTTTAATTTTAAAATGTTTTAAAAATGTAAAATTTCACCTAATATAGCCAAACTATTATCATGTCAGCCAGTGGCCGCAGCCACATTTCCAGGGCTCAGTAGCCACACGTGGCCAGCGCTACTGTGGTGGGCAGCGCAGTGGTCCAGCTTGTTAGGTGGATGAGTGAAGCATGAAGATGTGCTTCAGGGTAAGGGGACGGGGCACCAGGTATGGGAGGGGCCAGACGGAGAAGGTGGCCTGGAGCTGACCGGAGGGAGAGAGCTCTATCATCACCTTTAACCCGCCCCGACCTCTGACCTAGCCTGGTGGCCGGGCCAATGGCACGTTCTCCCCTCCTCCGGGGCCACGCAGCGGGCGAGGTTCTGCAGGCCCGAGAGCAGTGGGCCCTCTGCAAAGGCCCAGCCTGGGGCCGCCCCTCAGCACACGCAGCCCACTTCCACCCTGACTTCCACCCCTGTTCTCTGGGCTCAGGGCCACCCGGGGACACCCTGCAGGGGGTTGTCAGGGCTTCACTGGAAGAGGGGAGAGGTGGGTGTGGGTGTGAGGATGAGTTTTTGCTCAGGGCTGGGATTTGGGGGAGATGAGGAAAAGTGGGAGCCTGTCTTTATTTAAAATGTTGCTATTTTGTTCATTGCAGATATTTTACATTAATTAAAAATTTATTTTATTGATTTATGTGTCATAAAATTCACCCCTTTAAAGCACACAATTCAGTGGATTTTAGTGTATTCAGAGTTGGGTGCTATCATCCAATCAATCTTAGAACATTTCCATCATCGCCAAGGAAACCCCTTGCCTATTAAGCAGCTACTCCTGCTTCCTGGCCCGCCCCGCCCTGTGCCTGTCCCTGTGGCTGTGCCTGTCGGCACATTTCATATAAATGGAATCATACGACATGCAACCTTTTGTCTGGCTTCCTTCACTTACGTCACGTCTTCAGGGGCTCACCCGTGTTGTGTTGGCACTTCGTTCCTTTTTAATGGGCAAATGACACACCACTGCATGGATGGACCCCATTTTATTCATCCACTTATACATTGATGGCTATTTATGCTTTCTCCACTTTTTGGCTACTGAGAATAATGCTGCTATGAACATTCACACGCAAGTTGTTGTGTGGACATATGGTTTTAGTGCTTTTCGGTTTTGCGTTCACTTCCATTTTTAAATACATTGTAAAAAACTATTATTTTTCTTGATTACTGAATTTTTTAGGTTCCCCTTTAAAATATGCGCCTGAGTCAAGTGCCTGACCGGCTTCATCCTATTCCCGCCCAAAAGTCTCGTCCCTTGTTAGCGGTGTGACTGGACACGCTCCTTACCCTCTCAGAGCCCTGAGCCTCAGCTTGCTCCTCTGTAGAATGGGGATAAGCCCTGTGCCTCCTCACAGCTCATGGGGGACACAACGGGCCGATGCGGGTGTCAGACCTGGCACCGGCCCTGGCGCACAGTAGACTTAAGTCAACAGCTTTTCCTATGCGGAGGCCTGGTGTCAGGCCTGAGAGGTAGGTCCAAAATGGCTGTGACCTTGCCCTGCCTTTGGGGAGAGCTGGCCCACCTGCTGAAACTCCCTGCTGCCTCTGTTTCTAAGAGAAACCTGCTGCTTTGCATTCCTGCCTCAGCCTGACCCCCTATAACCAGGTTGGGGGGTGGGGGTGCCGATGCTGCTCAGCGAGGCCCCTGTGGCTCCCACACCTTCCACCCCAGCTCCCCGGCCCGCCGCCGCCTCCCCCACCCTCCGCTCTGCCCACTCCCGCTGAGGCCATGGCTCACTGTCCCTCCGCGCTGCCATGAGGCCTGCACTTTGCAGGGCTGAAGTCCAAAGTTCAGCCCCTGCGCGAAGCACACGGATAAATATGAACCTTGGAGAATTTCCCCGGCTCCAATGTAAACAGAGCGGGCAGGGGCCCTGGTTCACTGGCCGCCGGGGCCAGGGCTGGGGGCGGGGGGTACCCACAGGACCTGGCGAGTGGGGTTTTGGGGGGCCGTGGGTGC